AAAAACCAAAATCCTTTCATACTTTGGAGATAACATAGAGTCGATAATTCAGGATAAAGAAGAATAAAAGACAATTGGAATGAAACATGAAGTGAAATGCACATGTTCTTGGTTAACAAGAACTTCATTACTACTTTTTGCTTCAAACAATTTCTCTATGTATGAACTCACTAGTGCAAATTAAAGAAAAATGAAAACTCATTCTCTCCCTTTCAATTTTCAAGCATTTTTTTTTTATGTGTACTTTCACATAATGATGCAAGGAAAAGGTGCATGGAACTTGTAAATAGTGGTTAGAACTTACTTGTGCCACCAAATATGTTGTTGAAGTCCTCCAACAAAGGCATGGTTGCTTCTCAACTTGAAGCTCAAATCCTGCCTTTAGTTCTGCAGCAAGAAGTGTTACAAATGATTAATTGGTCTTAGATTCATATATTATCTTATTATAGTAATAATAATAATAACGATAATTTATACACACATGAATATATACGTACTAACCACTAACATATAGTGGGTTTAGAGCTATTGAGAGAACGAGGAAGCAAATATGGGAAGTAGAGAGGAAAATGGAAAAGGGTTTGGAGTCATAGAGAGAGAAGAGCACTAGTGCTTGAACCAATAGGAAGAAAGAAGAAGGGAACTAGTGTTTTTTAAGGGGAAAAATCATGTGATAACCAAAGTATTTATTTATTTTAGGTCAAATTTTCGTGGTGAGAAAGAAAATTGGACTGTTAGACGTCACGTGAGAATCTGCATAATTGGATTTTGTCATGTTATGTTTGATGGATGGTTCGTGGTCTTCACCATTCAAAGTAGGATAGCAAAAGCTAAGCAAATTACAAAAAACAGATATGATGGACCCATTTGAGTCATGAGCAAATCCATGAAGGGATGGTGTACTAGAGTTCATCAATTAGTAAATCAATTTCTAAGAAACTGTTAATAATAATAATAATAATAATAATAATAATCAGGAATCATCTAGTGCACAAGATTTTTACTTGATAAGCCTAGGAGCATAGATGAATAAAATTAACCAACATGTTATGTTTGGTTGGTAGAGATACTCATGCTTAAGAATACAATTTCTAGGTTTGGATGTATGAAATAGAAATACTAAATAACACCCTAATCGATAAATTCTTTTAAATACACTTTCTGAATAGTTAAAATTTATTAAAAATTTAAAAATTTGATGAATCACATATACTATCTAATGATCATATCTCCTAATTTTGTAATGTTTAATGAATTTTAAGTAACAAAAGAGATTATTGTTAGTATTCTTCATGCATGAAAATATATCTCTTAACAGTCAATCATTTACATGATTTGTACTTCGAGCAATTAGTTTCTGGTTCTCGACCAGAGTTACTCTAACTTTACCTCAAACTAGATGTATAAAGTCTTGTTTTTATAATAAGAGAGATTTTTACCTGGATTTTATATATATGTGACCCTCGTGAAAACAATTTTTTTTCTTCTTTGGATGAAAAAGGTAGTAAAGTGGGGAGACACTATATGCTGGAACTCAATGTAGAAATTCAACAAAAAGTTAAAATTGGTCTGAGACAAAAATCAGAGATTAACGATTCAACATAGCAATAGTCAAAAACCACTATTTTTTTTTTCTTTTCTACAACTTTCATGTTAATCCTTTTACAAAAGAGTATTTGCCATCAACATCATAGAAACAAAGTAAAGAAGTTAAAATAGAGAGCATTTGGTAATACATGGAGAATATATTCCACATTTTGAGTTATCTGGGTATCGAATATTTGGGAGTTACAAAAGCTTTCACAAACAACTTTTTTTTTTTTGAAATATCATTTACGATTCTATTCATCTATATGCACATGGTATTCAACTAGAATTCTTATACCCCCATTGAAACAACCAACACTCGGTTAAAAAAACACTTAAATTTCTTCAATCATACACAAAACTTGAATAAGAACGATCTCAAATTGCGTAAGCAAGTACAGTAGTAAATTTGGTACGTTTGTTGGACACATATGAACAAAGAAATTGTGAAGAGGCAAGGAAATCAATAATTTAAACATACCTAGATGTTAACATCTCGATAGAGTACAATCCCTTCGAGTTTGTGGTTGACGAATGATTGAAGGGGGTTTGAGATTGGTTTAAAGATCAGAATTGTTTGAGAGGTTATGAATTAACCCTTCAAAATCACACCAAACAAATAATTTAATTTGATTGATGCTTTGTTCTTTTGTCACGACGTGGGTAAGATGTTTGGAATGTATCTTGAAAACTTAACTCTTTCTTTTCTCTCTCCACCTCCAAACATTAAAATACGTGGAAGTTGGTTGAATTTGCTTCTCAAGTCTCCATTGATTTTCTAGTATACAGAGTAATAATGTATTACAAAAAAAAAAAAAAAAAAGGAAATCTCTTTGTTTTGGATCGCAATTTTACCTAGAAGGAATAGGACTAAAAAAATAGTGGCTTTCCTTTATTAAAAAATATATTTTTGGAATTTAAAAAAAATTGATTTTTTATTTAATAAAAATATTAACTGTCTTTCACTTAATCGACTAATTATAAGGGTAAAATTAGTTGCAACTCATATCAATTAAGAATCGAATCTCTTATTAATAAAAAAGTATAAATATCAAATTACTTTTGTTTTGAATAGAAAAAACACTTTCCTATTACTCGGGGATCCATGCCTTTCTAATTTTTTATAATATATAAATTGAAAAAAAGCGAGTGGTTAATTTAAAAGTGTTGTTAGATTTTTTTTATAACTATGTTATTGATACGAAGTGTCATCAATTTTGTCAATGACTAAATTTTGTTGAACAAGTTAATCGACCACTTTAGCAAAGTTTCTTCAAACCACATTTTTTATACACAAGATTTGAGTATGAGACTTTACTTAAAAAGATTGAGTTTAATACTATTCAGATTAACGATTTGTAGGTAAAGGTGTTATTAGTTTACAATGTTGAATTTACATTTTTTTTGTGAAATAGGTGGCTTAAAAGCCAAAAATGAAAACAAAATTTAAACTACACCCGCTAGATCAGCGACTAATAAGGAAAGGAGAAAGTGGGGGGGGGGGGGG